AGAGATAGATGGTTGATGAGTGGTGGTGGCAAGTAGGTGCGGTGTGTAGCGGTAGTGAATGGTAGTGGTGGAATAGTGGGTTGGTGGGGGTTGGGTGGTGTTAGATGGCAGGTGGGTGGTGGGCGGCGGCGGTGGTGGTGGGTGGCGAACGAAGAGTGGGGTGATGTGGCGAGTGTTGTGGCTTTGTGGGTAGTGTGGTGGGTGGTGGGGTGGGTGGCAGGTGGGTGCGGGTAATTGGTTGGTCGGGCAAGGTGGTGGTATGAGGGCTGGGTGGTGGTGGCAGAAGACGGTGGTCGAAAATGGTAGCGGGTGGTGGCTAGTGTTGGGTGTAAAAAACAAAAAAAAAAAAAACTCAAACTCAAAACGGAAACACATTTTTTGTGTTTTTATTTTTTGGCCAAATTTATAAACTGAGACCATTGATTTATAAATCAAAAATTTTACCAAATAAGTTTTTATTTGAATTTTTAAATTTTTTGTAAATATAAATAGAAAACTGAAAACGTAAGTGTTACCAAACGACACCTAAAATTTTTATTTATAATCTGGACCATCGCGAGTGTAGTCATAAACTCGAGAGCGTAACCATACTGGTTGCAGGCCATCACGGGCCAAGTATCAAAAGGTGGTTTTTGGTCACAGCTCACAGTTGGGTACGACCTTAAGCTCGCAAGCGTAACCACTTCTACAGGGTAAATTGTTTCTTGTGTTTTGGGTTCAAAACCAAGGTTTCTTGTGACAAATAAAGCCCAATGAAGTAATATAAAACCCAAAACAAGTATAAACTCAATACAAAAAGATGGAAAGGGTTAGGTCTTGACCCGAGACGCAATAATCTCAAAAACTGTCGATTGTCGCTCATTATCATCTTTGTCCATAAATACAGCATATCCAACACCTGAGCAACGCTTTACCTTTGGTTGAATCCATTGTTGTTGCCTCCGCTACCGTCTACAGTGTTTGAAATTATAACTTGATGCTCCAATCGGTGCCCTTAAAGAGGAGAGAGAAGATGAAGAGAGAAAAGAGAAGATGAAAAGAGAGAGAAGATGAAGAGAGAAAGTGTGGGTTTAGAGAAATAGGATTGAACAGATAGATAGGCATTTTGTATGGGGAAATGAGACTATCCTTGTGGACTTAACAATGTCCTTATGAACGTAGTAATTTAGTGTTTGGAGTTTTAGACGTAAGAAATTTAAAATTGGATTTATGAACCGAATGCCCCCCTTTTTTTAATGTTTTAGAAAACAACATAACAGGGAAAATATCAAATCAGTGTAATTTTAAAAAAATAATGATAAATTAGTAAAAAAATTTATAACTATTAATAATTAAACTTGTTAACTTTTTTTTTATTTTATTTATAAGTATGTACTTTTCTTTTCTAAAATTTGATTGTGGTGCAATTACCCCTTATATATAAGTTATATTAAAAGATGTACTTTTAGCATGAAATTTTAAAAATTTCATCAACAACTCATTTTGGAATAGGGTAAACTTTTAATAGGTTCTAATAATTAGAATTAATTCTCATCAAATCCTATTGAAAATAAATCTTAGTAAAATTTTCGTTAAAAATAATTTTTTATAACTATTTTTTTGTATATGTTGCTAAAAATTGACAATTAGTAATTTTTTTGTCACAATTTTTATAAATTATCGCTAAAACTTATAATTAGTGACGTTTTTCTGTAACGAATTTTTCAAATTGTCATTAAAAATTGAAAATTAGTAACATTTTTTAGTAATGATTTTTGTAAATTGTTACTAAAATTTACAATTAGTAATATTTTTTAAAAATTTTCAAACTTCAGCTAAAAATTAACAATTACTAACATTTTTTTAATAATATTTAATAAAAAATATCATTAACAAAACTTATTGAATAATAAACCTATCTATTAAATCTTATACATATGTCCCACTTCGAAATATCATTTTTACTTAATAGGTCACGTGCATATAATGACCAATAATGGTACAATTTTTTACTATTACAATCTAAGAAATTTGTAGACAAAGGGTAATTTTGTTTTGTGCTTTTATTTTTACTTTTTGAGTTTTGAAAATCAAAATAGTAACAAATTTCAACTTTGTCTTCTATTAGGTGCATAAACATTTTTTTTTAAATTGCTTTTTAGCACCTTGTCAAAAGATTATCATCTTATTTGATTGAGTTTTTAATTTTTTTAAAATACTAAATTTAGTTTGATAAAAAAAATTGAAAAAAATGATAAAAAACACTTATCATTTTTATAAAAAAATTCAAAAATTTTAATTTTATCAATTTAAATCTAAATATTTTGATTTGTTTTTTAATTTAAACTGTTTCCTTATTTTCGTTAAGTAAAACTAGCGAGAAAATAATATTTTAGTCATTAAATCTATATGTACGTAAAATGTCTAAAATAATTTTTTTTCATTGAATTTAATTAGAAAAATATTTTTTTTTTCATCATTTTTGTTCAACAAAAATATATAAATAATTTAAATTGAAAAAAAATCAAAATATCAGGATTTAAATGAATAAAATTAAAAATTCAGAATTTATTTTATTACAAGTGTTAAACTCTAGAATTTTTGTTTTTTGTTGTAATTTTTCCAATATTTTTATTCAATTTAAAAAAAATAAAAATATGTTATTAATTTTTATTTTTACCAAACAAACTTTATTTTAATTTTTTATACTAACAAATTAAAAAATAATAATAATTAGTTTGTTTTGTTTCAATTTTCTTGATTCAATTTTTTAAAAATTGAGTTTTTTATTTTTCTTTTTTTTAGTGAATATTTTTATAATTTTAACCATTTTTTTTTACTTTATTAGATGCACCTTATTTAGATGTATCTAAAAAAATAAAATATTTGTAAAAAAAATATTTTAAAAAATCAATAAATATATAAATATATGAAAAATGTATTAAATTATTGTATTTTTTTTTATATTTTTGATATTTAGTGAATTTTTTAAAAAAAATTCATAAATATCATACATTTTAAATATATTTATATTAAGTAGATCTAAAAATTTTAAAAATACTTAAAATATTAAAATTTTTTTAATAAAAATAAAAATATATATACATAAAATATAAAAAAAGTAAATTCTCAAAATCAAGGTGAATAATTTGTGAGAAAACAATTTTCGATCCCAAACAAGTGGCACATATAAGAGAACATCTGAGGTCTCTCATTTTTGTTTCTTTTTTCTCCTCTCTCTCTTTAAAAAACCTCCCTAATCTTCTTCCTGCTCTCCTCTGGCGGCTCTCTTTCTCTCTCTAAAAGGTGTGTTTGCTTTCTCTCTCTTCGGATTGGATCGATTTATCTCTATCCTGTACATGCCCTAGCGAAGCTAGTTTCATGACCCAACTTCTGAAATTCTAGATCCGATTTCGATCCCCCAAAATTGGCCGATCTATCTGAAGATTTTGACGATTCGAACCGCCATGGTTGGAGGACCACCGCCACAACAACAATCTCAGACTCAACCTCCGTCAACACCCACAGCTCCATCTGCTGAAGAAGAAGCCTTGAAGAGGAACACCGATTGCGTTTACTTTCTCGCTTCCCCTTTAACCTGCAAAAAAGTTCGATTCTTTCTCTATCTCTCTGTCTTTCTTTGTAGATGTGTTTTTATCTGGGTTTTTCTTGTTTTTGTATATACGTTTTTCTTTATGGATATAATTGTGAATAAAGTGTTTTTGGGATATTTGGGTACTAGGGTTTTGGAGCTACAGTCCATTGAGTGAGATCTTTGTCTTCTTTTGAAACTAAAAGTGGGTTAATTGGGGACCTGGAGCTAGATTAGGGTCTCTATTTACGTTCTTTATGTGTTGCATCGTGTCAGATTTTGTTGGTTTGACAGCTGTTGTTTTGATAGTTTTAAGAATATGGGTTTGTATTTTGTTTTGATTTTTGTCTATGTCAATTTTGTGCTAGTGCTAATTGATGATAGCTTAGTGGTAGAGTGGGGAAGAAGAAGGATATTTTAGAGATTGAGATATATTTGGGCTTGGAAGATAAAAGAACCTATCCTTCCTTTTGGGAATTGACTGATGTTGAGTGGACTTGCAGTATGAGAAATCTTTTTATAATAAATTTGTTCCAAATGATTAAGCAGTTGATCCAAAAGTAGCAACTCTAGGCTTTGTGCAGAATAGGGTTTCTTGCCACAATTATTAATCTACAGAGTGCATTTACATACAAACATGGCTATGCTTGCTGTTTTTGTCGCTGTGAACATTATTCTTTGTGAGATTCTGTTTTCTGTTTGTTACGGTTTTTCTGTTACAAGCAATCAATTCTTTAAATTCATTTGGTCAGCCAGCAGATCTTAGATTATAGATTGATGACATATGCAGACACCTGAAACGATTGAGTTTCTTTGTCTCTTTAGGGGGTTTTGTATAACTAATGTCGGCATCAATGTTTTACTTTTAGTTTGTTAGACCCTATTACAGGTTATCTTTAATAAAATCTTCAGCTACACATTATATGTGTCATTGACTACTTTCATTAAACCAATTTGGTGATGTTAAATTGGTTTGATGTGATCTTTTCACTGCCACATTAATCGTATCCATAGTGTTTTAAGTATTTCATCTAATACTTTATTTCCCCATTTGAACAGGGAGCCGAGTGTGAGTATCGGCACAGTGACATTGCTCGGGTGAACCCCAGGGATTGCTGGTACTGGCTGAATGGTAATTGCTTGAATCCGAAATGTGCGTTCCGACACCCTGTAAGTCTTCTCTCTTGCCTAGTTCAAATTATGTTTTCTTTATCAGACATGTTCAGTAGCTTAGGAAGTGACAAAGTTATGAAATTATAATTTATGTTGGTTAAATCTTCTTTAATGTTCGAAATTTCTGTGTTATCTCCATGTAACTTGTTGTTTCTTCATTTCAGCCTCTTGATGGATTATTGGGGACCCAAGTGCCAACTCCTGTGGGACCTTCTTTACCTCCATCACTGACTGCAACAACACCTGTGGCAAGTAATTCAGTTAAACAACCTGTTGCTTGCATTTTCTTTCAGAAGGGATTATGCTTAAAAGGTGACAGATGTCATTTCTTGCATTCTCCAATCGCTGTCAACAACAAAGTTCCACAGGTGGCTGTAGCTACTACTGTTTCGGAGCCTCCAACCCTTAAGAAGGCTTTTGGTGGCCTTGCAAAGTTTAATCAAGAGCAGAAGGTTACACAAGCAAATGTTCCTAAGCCAGCTGAATTTCTTTCCCAGGTGAAACCACTGGCGAAATTTGAAACTGCTCCACCCAAAAATGGGGTTGCCATTGACAGGCATGTACCTACGCCACCTTCAGTTCTGGACGATCAGTCTCCTCCCAGGTACAAACCAACAAATGTTCCTGCTCCTACCAATGGAAATTCTATCAGCAGGTCTAACCGCGTGCAGCAAGTTCAAGTACCAGATGATCATGGTATCCTGAATAGCAGCAGGGATGCTGATGAATTCTCTAGGGAGATCTCCCCTGGTTTTGATGTTCTTGTGGATGATGAACTTAGAGAGTCTGATTATTATCATAACGAGGATCCTTATGGACGAACAAGGGGTCATGAAGGAAGGAATCTGAATCCCATGAATGATTTTGATATTGGCCATTCTGTGGATTACGATTCGATGGTTGATGTTGACAGGGACATGTATCGTGATTCACTTGGGTATGATTCATATGAACACGTGCACGGGCAGTATGCTAGAGAGCAGCGTAGGGCTTCATCATCTGAGAGGATGTTAGGAGGGTCAGGGCATCTGGAAAGGAGGCGTTACCCTAGAGCCAATAGCCCTGATCAAATTGTTGAATTGGATCTGAGGCATCGCTTGTCAAAGCAGAGGAGGGTTAATGGTTTGAGGTCTGTCATTAGTCATGACCGCGTCCGTGACAACACTGCTGAGGATCGAGGTTACCGGGGCTCTTCTCGAAGGGATGCCCACCATTTACCTCCAAATGAAAGTTCTGTCAGTAGTCGTCTTCGTGGAAGAATAAAACTTCCAGGGAGATCATCATCTCCAGTCAATGGAAGTGATTTGCACCCAGAAAGTGAAATGGAGAGGGGAAGGAACCGGGGGAGGTTGTCACCAGGAAGGTCACAGATTTCCACCCTCCAGGGAAGGCTTCGGGACAGAATAAAAGGAAGGGTGCAAGAGGATGTTAATAATGAGGGGGGAAGTTTTAGAGCTCCGCCTCCGCGCATGAGAGACTTGATAAATGACAATAATGCTGATTTTGCTGCTCCAAAAAGACTTTCACAGCTGAAAGGTGGGAAGAACGCTGAGGGCAATGAGCAGCAAATGAATGATCAACAACCTTTCTCTCTTGGGAAGCGCAAATACCCTAAATTAGAGAGCCACCAACAATCTGAAAGTGATCTCTCATTTGAAGGACCAAAGCCGCTGAGTGAGATTTTGAAGAGAAAAAGAGCAACAGTTCCTGGGACCAGTTCGATGTCTGGTAATATAGAAGACAGTAACCAAATGGAAGAAAAGGAAAGCTTCATGAGCGGATTGAAGACAGCAACAAGCGTTACTTCTCTTGTATCCAAGGAACAAATCAAAGAATCCAAGTCTGGAACAGCTGATGTTGTTGGAACCGAAGGCAGAGATGTTTTGATCCCTAGAGAAGTTAATAAATCAGCTGACGATCAATATCCTCTTCAACGTAATGAAAGTGAGCTTGAAACTGAAGAGGGGATGATTGTTGATGACACGATAGAAGATCATGAGCCTGAAACCTTTGATCAGAGAGATGGGGAGTCGGATTATGAGCAGGTTGATGGAGAAGATTACAACCTAGATGAAGCAGAGAATGGAGAACATGAGGAGTACCTGGACGACGAGGATGACGATGGAGATGACTTTGCAAAGAAGATTGGAGTCATGTTCTCTTGAAAAAAGAGAAATCACAATTGTTGGCTCTTAACTATGATCCATGTGTGCAAGGAGCTTGAGCTTGCTAAGGTTGGAGCAAAATTAGTTGCTTTGGATTTTTAGCATAGGAAGTAGGGATAATAAACCTTTTTTTTTAAATATTTTTTGTGTACTATTTGAATCATTTGCAGTGTATTTAAACTCTGATTGAATGGGAATTTTTTCTTCGTGCTTGTGGCTTTTATCAGCCATGCCCATCGGTTAATTTTGCTTTCAGAGCAGATGACTAACATTTACTAAGTTAATAACATTGTAGTCTTTCTATTATATTCTTCGTTACTGCTAATTGTTAGCTATTGTTTCTCTGTTCCTCAAGAAATGTCAATATTAGACTCTTCCTACTTATTTTGGTGTAATTTTCTTCGGGTTTCTGGACTTCTGCGTTGTTAAATTGTGTTTTCCGTTTTCTTCCCCAACCCCACCCTTTTCAGGATACCTGAATTTTCATCCAAGATTCTGTTGTAGATCATTCTGTGTTTCATTGAAATTGCCTGAATTCTTTGCCCAGTCTAATGGTCGTCCTTGTGTTTCCTCTGAAGAAGAAAAATGAGAGGAACATGGTAGAGAAAGCCTGTTTAGTGGTTTCTCTTCTGAATTGGTGAGGACTTGAGTGAGGAAATGGTTGAAAGGGGTGATCAAGCCCCCTATATTCCACCTTCAAAACTGGATATTTTGGGGAAGTGAAGGAAAATTAGTGATTGCCAATTTTACCCCATTTGTAATTATACCATTTTCTACACAAATAAAAATTTTCATATTTTCCCTTCCGTCTCTCTTTTCTTGCAAACAAATAAATCACATTTCTTGCTTTTATCTCCCTATATTGTCAAAACAAGGCAAACTGTGATCTTTCCCTTTCTTTCCTTCCCCTCCTCCCTATGAAAATTATTTAATAGGTTTGATCAATATCTTACATGGTGTGCTGTTTCAATTTTACATAACTGTGTAACTCCATTTTCACAATTTTTTTCCTTACTAGTTAGACCCCCACGTGCTTCGCCCGTGGGGGTCACGCCATCATTGGCCAGGAATAAAGTCATATCGCCCTATCATTAGCTAAGAATAATAGATCGAGGCAAAGATATGCCAAATTGTTATTAAATTCTATAAATTTTATTGTATGAATTGGAAGTACAAGCAAAACCCTAAACCCTAAGCAAATTCCAAAGCTTTCGATGGAAGAAGAGTTCTAGGGGTCGCATTGTGGTTGGAGTGTTTATTTTTTGTATTTATTTGCTAAACTTGTATGGGCCCTATATATCATTATATTTTCCATATTTTCCTCTAGCTCTTTAGCAAAGAACAACATGCCAGTTGGGCCATCACATATTGGACCATTATTAACATCCGAAAAGAAAATGCAAGCATGTAGGATATAAGGTGAAGGATACACAGTGGACCATGCACACACAAAGACAAACATGCAGTTGCTTTTCAGACCATATTGCCACATAAATAAATTAATAACACCGCCCTCTATCACCCACTGAAGGCGAATTGATTATAGCACAAGATTCCATAATGAATTTTTTTATGGTATCTCAAAATAATTCCAACAGTGACATATTATAAAACAGTGAATGCTTGATAGCTAGCTACATCCATATGCATGACAAAACATGTTGTGTGTAAGTCTATGGAATTCACATAAATGACAACCAAAGTTAAAACTACTTTATTTGTCTTTGTAATGCACAATAACTAATATATTGGTGTTTCAGGGCATGGCACACTACAAAGTGAATGGGAAGGAAACACTATTTTCTCTGTATTGCAATATAAACCAAAATTTACAATCTTCTTTCCGTTGATCAATGTGAGCAAAAATTTACACACAACAATGCAAGAAAGCAAGCGCTAGAGTATCAATATTTTGACATTATGTTGTCAATAAGCAACAAAATGAATGAAAGTTACCTGTTGTAGATACTCTTCCACGATTGTTGCCTTAGTAAGGAAAACATCTTCAAAAGTCATCTTGAAGAAAAAAGTTAAAATATGAGAGGATGGATAAAAAATAAAAAAAAAATAATACTAAGTGAAAAATAAAAAATAAAAAAAAGAAGTAAAAAAAGAGGACAAAATTCTGGAAATCCATGGTGCGATTAGATTCACTTGATTCAAAATTTCAACTTAACAAAACTATTGAATTACTCTAAGATAAATATCATAAGTGGCAGTCAATGAGAAGAACAAATTATGCATCAAGTTGAAGATATGAAAGAATTACCTTTAATTCAAAAGATTTAAGATCCCGAGTGTAGACGTCCCCGAACGTCCCGGGAGGAATGAGGTCCCGTTCTGTTCATTTGGGCTCACTACAAGTTCGGACTCTCAAATTGTCACGGTTCTTAATCTGAACCAAAGAGTCTAAATCCGGCAAATCGTTTTCAGAAAACATATTTTTTTTAAAAGAAGTGCCAAATATGGACTGCTTTGCCAGATACAGAGTCGCCACCTAAATATTTTATTTTTGGAAAACTTAGGAAACCCTGACTCGTTGCCTAAGGCCACGTGTCCGTCATCACCAAAGCTGCCTTGGCTCGGGAACTTGGGTACGATTGGGGAAGGTCACTTCGTGAGCACCCCCGCTCGCCCGATCAAAGATCGGCCTCTACTAACCATGATATCTAGTTTTGAAAATTTTATGCGCTCTTATTCCGGTTATTAGCCTAGATTTACTATGTGATGCGCACAGCATACAAGTATAGACTGGATCGTCTGAATTGAAATAAAACATTTCATGTTTATTTTTGAAAGTGGTTTGATGGTGCTACCCGTAAGTAGGCTAAGACGTGGATTTGCCACCCTTGGGTGGGCTTAGAAAAACATGATTTCGCCACTATCTAGTGGACTTAAAACTCACAGTCAATGCGTTTATTCCAATTCAAATAATCCAACCTTCACCCACAGACAATCAGGTAGTTATATCACATAAGCATATAGCCTCATGGTAAGCATGCTATCATGGGAGTCACTCACACACATGCAAGGATGCCAAAGCATAAACACTTACCGAGTACTCCAAGCCAAAACAAAAGCTATGTTAGAAATCCATGCGTGATCCTAACTATTCATAAATGCCTAATGCAACACATGCAAAATGCAACTAAGATAGGCTCGGCTATTCTAAAGATGGCATGTGAAATGCTACAACTAGCACATATTCAACTTAGAATTGAAATATGATGCAGTTAGTATGATGTCCCGAGCCCGGTGCATGCAAGACAGATGAATGAATGCAAACATGCTATCATACTGTATGCTAATTGAAACATGCCCCTAATCTAACCATCATAAGCTGATAAATAAAGGGAGAAAGACGTGGGTTGGAAGACATACATCACACACACGCACACTTATTACAACATTGCCCTCGCGCAGAGGGTCCGAATAAATAATACAGTCCCGAATAAATACAGAATCCTAATTAATTAACAAATTAATCTAGAAAGCAATAAATTACACGCAATTCCGTGCACCGCCTCAGCTCTGTTCCGGATATAAATGAGCATGCTTGAATTTGCCTTGCGCGGAAATCCCTGCGATGCCCCAGTTTGCCTCTGTTGTAATTTTTCTTGGAATGCGTGCCAAGCTCCGGAAGGCTTGCTGATTTCTGATTTGCTGCAACAGAGAGCAAAGGGGCATGGCAAAGTATTTTCACATATGTATGTATGACTACTTTCAGGAGTGTAGTCCTCGATCCTCGTGCCACTAATCACGCATCTCGATGCATTGATGGCCGAGAAGTCGAATTGCATGACTCAATATGAATGAATGCACATATGGACACAACAAGGCCTAGACTCCATCATGGATAATCCGAAGTGTCGGCGCCGGGAATTGAGACACGTTCCTTCGGAGTACGAAACTCCTTCGTTTCCCGTGCTTGGGCTAACTCCTATCCAAGCACAATGCATATGCATGACATGCATGAATGCAATCCTAACTGCAACTAGCATACGCAACCATGAAAATGGCACACACAATGCACGATGTAAGAGGCATACACAATGCTTCTAAACATACAACCTTGCATGCGCAATGCTATGAAATGAAATGGCATACACAATGCATAATGACTTACACTAACATAAGTGGACCTCAGCCACACTCACATCAAGTGACATTAGGTGAAAATTGAGACTCTCAAATGCGTGCACGCATGCACGCAAACCGAGGACCGAACCTAAGGCATAACATGCAACTCTAACAAGGCATGGCAAGGATGCAGATGATACAAACTCACAAATTCCAGCATTGAAATATGTGCTAATCGGCCCCGAAAACATGGAAAAATAGCACCCGATGCATGACATGAACCCGAAAACTCGAAACTAGCACATGGAATGACTTATAGCTATACAAATCATGCATTATTTGATCATGAAGTACAAAGACAGAGCCAAGGCAGTCCCAAAACATGAAACATTTCTAGTTCAAAGCATGGCCAAAAGATGCTAGATGGTGGACAAAAATAAGCATGCAATCTTGACAGCAACATGGTTTACATGGCAAGTATATGAACAAAATGTAATTCACAAAAACCAGAAAAAATCAGTGAACAAAACATGTGAAAATAGGCCAAATAACCACTAAATGAAGCCAATACATGCAAAAATGATGAGCTCCTTTAGAGGGCATGCAAGGATTATTAAGCACATACAAGGTGGACACTTAGCATGGAATAAACAACTATGAAAATCAAATATTGGTAGTATTAAAACCTCACCAAAATTGACCCTAGAAAGTGACTTTGAAGCATACAAGGTAGGGTCTCTTTGTAAGGCCAAAAAGGTCACCAAACAAGAGAAGGAAGTGGGGGGTCACCCCCCTCTAATCTTGGCTCTCAAAATAGTGTTCCAGCCACTGAAAATCCACTGGATTTCAGTGGCTAGAAGGCCAAACCAAGCATGCAACAAGAGCTTAGGTGTAAGGCTCAAAATAAGGGACAATCAAGCATACAAGGAAGCATATGACCTTAAACAAGAAAATGCCCCTAATAAAACATGAAGATGATTTCAAAATGAGGCTTTTTCCAGTTTATAACAGATCTCAAAAGTGAATACAAATAGGGCTAATCTATCATGCAAAAATGGCCCTAAAAGAGAGAATAGAGACGAGGGACAGAAGCTGGCCCCAAATGGCAAAGAACCCTTCAACAAAGTTGAAGAGGGGCTCAAAACAAGGCACTTTACAGTTTATATCAAGTCTCAAAAATAAACACAAGTGAGGTTAAAACAACATGCAAGAAAAAGGCCTAAGAG